ATTGGCACCAGCACTCCCGCGACCCCGAAAGGGAAAGGGGTTAAGGTAATAGATGGATGGATGGATATACAACCACTAAATATCATAAAAATAGCGTAATATCTTTATGGGTATAGAAATGTGGATTTTCCCCCAGCAGACCTGACAGTCAGTAGGACAGACTGTCAAGGCAGCACGACCCGACAAATCCCATGTTGTGTCTTTAACGAGGTGGGTGGCTTTGATAAGAGGAGGGTAATGTTTCTGACTGAAAAGGCATCTCAATTTTACCAAAAAGAAGGTAGGATTCTTCTCTGCCAGGCAAATGTATATACAGTCTGAGCCTATCAAAAACAAGCCCCATTAAAAATATCTAGCTCTTAAGCTTCCTGTTGCTCCAATGTGCTCCCCATCTATTCCTCAACTGTGTCTGTCTGCAGTGCTGATGATCCAGACACAGGCTGACTGAATGAATGAACTCTCTGCCCACATTTTAAAACATTGCATCATCTACGATGACACATCTTGCTGCAGCCCTCCTCAGAGCCATGCCGTGTCTTTCCCCACAAGTTTGGCAAAAAAAAAAGCTCCCAGCCTCCGCCCTCTTTTCCCAAGATAGCTTTAACACAGTCAGTCTCTGCTTACCATCACCCTGGATCTGTCTCACACGTATGTGACCATCAAACAAACACAAACATCAGCTTTGCATTCAGATCCTGTGAGTAAGATTTTTGGTGAAGCAGAACTTTCTCATGCAACCAAATTTATCACACATTACATCACTGGTTGAATTTATTGTTTATGGTTGTTCAGATTGGATTCCACCTGCAAACAATGAAACTCTGAAGATCACCAAGTCGGCCTACGGAACAACATTAGTGTCAAAATCTTTCACTCAGCTCCAACCATCCAGCCAGTCAGTCAGCCAGTCAGCTTCTGCCAGCACTCCATTCTGAAATAAATCTCCTGTAAACCTTCCAATTGCATCTGTGTACACGTCAGGGTTCCTATCTAACAAGAAGCCTTAACAAAAGTGGATTCAAAGGACTTTGCATTTCCATCTTCATACAGTTCTTTACTTTAAAATGTCATCACCAGGGCCCTTTTAACAGCTTTTCACGATATAAGATTTAAAATTGATCATGTTTCATTTATCTTTAACAGCTGCATTTGTGATACAGTGTTGCTAACGCTTAACCAAGAGTGGACAGCATACAGTGTTGCTGCAAGGGAACACATGAGTCCAGTCCAAGATTGTGCAGTTCAGACACACACCTGGACTTAAAGCAGTGTACCTGTCAGACAGCTACGTGCATGGAGTTTCTCCTGAACACATGTGAGTCTGCTGATGTTCACTTTTGTACTTTGGAGCATGTCCATCTGCGTCATCCCTTTCAGACAGAGCTGCATTAAGTCTGCAACTATCTGACAATCTCTATAACCATATTTTTCCTCATGATGTCCGTGAGCAATGTAACACACACAAACGCTTGACGTTGTGAGATTTAATGAAAGTATTTAGCTGCCTGCAGAGCTTGAATTGTAATTGTTGGTAGTATAGAACTTAATGGAATGGCCACCTGCAGGATTATGCTCTGGTACTGGAGCTATTTATGGTCTAATGACTGAAGAGCATGACTTCATTAAACATTTAATTGATACTTAAAAAAGAGAATGGAATTTAACAAATGAACCATATTAAGACACATCATCCTTTAACTGATTCAACTTGATGTTAGCTATTTGTATCAATTTGGACAGAATAAAGTGTTTTTGACATTTCATCAAAATTCAAAAAATATTGTTTACTTTTACATGAAGGAACATTCTGCATCTTGGACATGACTTGTTTGCAGACTGAGCTGGAATTTAGTCATGACTTTCTGATGCCAGAAGTGACCATGTTTGGACATAAGCAGGGAGTTGTTAGGTCTTGTTAAAGCAGCAATATGTAACTCTCCACCTTAAAATAGTACCGGTAGTTTCCAGGCTGATCTAATAGAACAATAAAGTTTCTGTCTGTAGTCTGTAGGGACTTGGATTGAGAATCGGAGGTTGGATGGATCAAAAAGTATATTGTCTTCTTCTTCTACTTCTTCTTCAACAGGAAGAATGGTGTCTATCCCATTTCCACAGAGTGCCACAGTCACCTGCTTTCAGCACTTCCTACCTTTACAGTGGGCTGCGCTGCTCTTGCAAGAGGTTCGTGCAGCTTCACGGCACTAGTCTAACAAGGCTATGTCAATACACTGGGTGCACTGCCACAGTAGACCAGACTGACTCCCTCCCTAATGTTACTTTATACCATCAACTGCTGCTATAGCACCAAACTTTGTTTTGCAAGGTACATACCTCATTCCATCACTTGGGATGCTATTGGACGAATCAGACACACTTGCAAATGTAATTACCAAAAAAGTAACACCTGACATCTTAGTGTCTTTTAATACGACGATCTTCCTAAAATGCCTTTAGTCTACTTTAAAAAAGCGAGACCAGAGAGACCAGCTCCTTCATAACAAAGTCCTCTTGCAAGAGATTCCAGGCTGCAGGAGCAGCATACCTGAAACTCCTTTTCTTTTTTTTAACCTTATGCAATCAGAGAACTTTGATCGCTGGCCAGTCTGGAGATTGGGGCTGTTACTGTTCAGATGATAGCTGTAATTTAAGCCAGATAGCTTGCAGGCAGTGACCTTGTGTGTTTGTTTTCATCTGCAGCAACTAAACTGAGACTCACTAGGCCATTAGCCTACAGCTTCATTATTCCATGTGTGTCTGTATTTGTTTAGGAATGTGAAAACATTGATCAAAGTCAGCAGCCATCTCTTCACATCGATTCAAACACTCTGTACTCTGACATACAGGATGGAAATGGTTTGTTTCAATAATACCATATTAATAAAACATTATTAAGATAGAGCCTTTTTGTTAGTGTGAAATAGCTAACAGTGCTTTACCAACCCTTGGGTTATAGAAGCATGAATGACTCCATCAAATGTTGATAACAGACCTATTAATCCTAAAATTTGGAGAAAATGCCTTTACACCTGTGCTGCCCCCCATGTTTGAAAAAGGCATTACAAAACCCTGACATCTATTCCTCCCATGAAATGTATTACAATATGCATACAACCTGTGCTCTCATCTGCACCATGGGGACAGAGACCTCACAATATTGTTCTACTTTTTCCCCATGTTTTTTTGACTAAACATTATTGGAATAACTTTCACGTCTGGTTTTCTTCAAAGAGTGATGCCAGTATTCAAGCTTTCCCACATTCATTTCTTTTTTGTAAATTGGTCCATCTGATATACCAAACTTGATGATCTGCATCATTAGTGGGCAAATCCATATTATTAATATATTTAAATCTGAGTGAAATCACAATATGATGGTGGTTGGTGGGTAAAGATCCCAAAAAGCTACATCGCCTACAGCTGGATGGAAAGAGTGTAACAGTGTCCTCGTTGTTTTTACAGAGAGTGGATGTGTTTATCTCTCTCACAAACTGCTTTACATTAGTCTCCCTCTCTGAAAGAAAGTAATCACAAACAGCTTTAGCTACCTCCACAGGTTATTACATTGACATGGCACACTTCACCCTGCCAATACAATGATTGATTTCCAATAGTCACATTTCCACTATAATTTTGCCTGAAGTTTACCACCTTACATGTAGTGTCGGTTAATTAATCAACTTTTAATTTCATTCATGATGTTGGCTTCTCATGATCATGACAACAACATAATTGAGATCAAATGATAACTGAGCCACATGTTACATGTTGTGCTTATTTTGTCTATAAGTTTTGTCATGGGTGTTAAAGGTTTCAAAGTATTTTTTGTTGTTGTATTTTAGTCACAATAATATGTCAACACTCAATATAAGTCAAAGATAATTGTGATCATGATTTTCACCATAGTCGAGCAGACCTGAATACCAGTTTGCATTTCCAGTAGGCAAGCTTCTGTTCTTTAGGATACTCAGACCCACAATCACATCTACTGAGCCGCCAGTTAAAACATCATTATGAAACTATGAAGTTATAAACATCTGCAGAGCTAGAAACAGATGTTTGTAAGGTACATTTGGAAGTTCATCATTATGACAAAGTCCTTGTATTGAACAAACATCAGACTGATAGTGCAGATTGAAACAATACAAGGACATTATTCAATGTGCTTCAACACATAGAAATAAAAAAGTAAGAAAAATAGCCCTTTAATTGAGGCTATTTCATGTACTTCAAATTATAGAAGAGTAAGAGGGCCAGTATAATACATAATATTTAGCTGATAAACAACATCACATTAGTAAATATTGGCCAAAATGAAAAGCAATATCTGCAACAGAGTAGGGCTGGGTGATATGGACCAAAACTCATATCTTGATATTGTTTAGCTGAATGGCGATACTCGATATATATCGATATGTATTTTATTAACAGTGAAAACACATGGAAAAATAAACTACCTGTTTGTGAATTTAAAAAGTAATATTATAAAATAAAAATGTTCCTTAAATACAATAAAAGAGAGAGAGAGAGGAGGAGGAGCAGGGTTAAGAGGGACAGACAGTCAGTCATCATCAGTGAGATGAGAAATAGGTGAACTGGCACCTCCATAACATTATTTTAATGCAACATGAACTATATCCATATTAACGATATTGTTTTACCCTATATCTTGTTTGAAAATATATCCATATATCTTAAAAACTCAATATATTTCCCAGCCCTACAACACAGTTGTGGAACTAAGCCCAGTCTGCTTGTTGAGGAGTTTTACTCATTTGAACTGGAGGTTAACTTTCAGAGACCTGACTCAAGAATGTGTGTGTGTGTGTGTGTGTGTGTGTGTGTGTCAGACACTGAACGTGTCTATGTGTGGGTGGGTGGAGGCTTTGGTCTGTGTCTCCTGGCACCCTTGGGCCCCAAGAAACTCTCAGCTAACGTTCTTGGGGTTGGTGTGTGTAGCCCCCCCTCCTGACGTCACGTCTGGAGGCTGGCTGCTCGCGCTGCTGACACTGTTCACCTCCAACAGAGAAACTTTCCTGGAGTTCTTTCCTGGACTCTTGTGACTGCGGACCAAGTGAAACCCCTCTCAGCCGCCCGGAGGCCCTTCATGCTTAAAGGAGACACACGGCGGGGATTTATTCAACATTCTCACCTTACATGCACATTGGATTTCAAACTTGTCAACGCGTCCTGCTGGGGTAACGTCAGCTCATTTAGTGCATTCCCACACCGGGTTGGAGGTCGGTAACCAACAGGAATATGCTCTGGAATACTTAGTGTTTCTCAAAAAGTGAACGGAGTTTTTGAACGGAGCCAAAAGTAACCTGGACCTCTTCCTCCCCCTTAAACTTTCTCCTGCGGTGTTTGGTTATGGCTTGGATTAAATGGGGCCTCTTTTGCTCCTTCGCTTTGCTTCTTTCCCCGGTGTGTGTGTCAGCCGAGCAGCAGCAGCAGCAGAAGAGCCAGAGCGGCTTCAGGAGGCTCTACGTGCTCCAGCCCGGCCCGGGACCGGGACCGGGACCGGGCTCGACCGGTGCGGACGGCGGGATGCGTATCAGCTCCATCTCGACGCGCCACGGAGCGTCGGGGCAGGCGCACACGTACAACGTAGAGCTCTCCGCCAACTACGGCGGCCAGGTCCGGACCCGCAGGATGGGGAACCAGGCGCCTGGCGGGCAGGAGCAGAGCCAGCAGAAGCAGCTCATGAAACTGTCTGGGTAAGAAACTTTTGTCAGGAGGGGGGGTTTAATGACTCCCTGTTAGCTTATTTCCAAAACCAAATCTCAAAATGACACATTTTCAGCTGGACAATAACACAGGCTCAGTTCTTCAGCCTTGAATTATCTAAATAACAGAGATGGAAGTGAATTCTCCAGAATTGAAGGAGGGTAGACCCTGTCTTTGACTTCTCTCTGACACTAAGTGGAGCTGACAGTCGAGCCCTGACAGCTTGTTTGCACACTCACTTGGCTGTCTGACCTGTTCAATGAACTCTGTTTGCTGCTAGATTGGATTATTACTGATGATATTGATATCTTGACTGCATTAGGTAAATACAGTGCACTTATTCCTGTATTGAAGACACACACATATCAGCCTTATACAGCAGTATAAGGCTGAGGGAGCCCTGCTGCAGCAACTTTAAATATAATCACCATAAAAAATAGGACAGTTCCCGATTCAAACACTGCGGTCAGACAGAGTGGTAGATGCAGAGTTGGATCTATTCAGACAAGAATACAGTGATGTGCATAAGTGATGATTGTAAAGGTCCAACTCAGACTCACACAGGACTCTTTTAGGTGATACAACATACTCAATAATAATTAGATTATTACATAATATGGTTGATTACAAAATTGTGAAAAGGTCTTCATAGTATCATGTCTCTCCCTCTTACTCCCCGGCCCACCTAGTTGTGGTATATCACCATCTAATGAATCTTTATCTGCTTGAGGTTTCTGCCCGTTTAAAGGAAGTTTTCCATACCACTGTTTCCAAGTGATTACACATTGTTTTTGTTTTTTTAATAGAATAGAATTACTTTATTGATCCCAAACTGGGAAATTGTGGAAACATAAAAGATGTATTTTTCAGCTTTTTGTGCCTTTTTATTGGAGAGAGAGGACAGTGGATAGAGTCAGAATTCAGGGAGAGAGAGAGAGAGAGAGTGGGGAACAACATGCGGTAAGGGGGCCACGGGTCCCTGAAGATTTGATTATTGTAACACACAACTCAGGATGACAACATATTGCTATGTGGATATTTTATTCCACCTCAACAAGCCCAGCCCTTGTTCTTCATGTACTGTCTATAAAGTTTTATTGTGATTTGGTTCTATTTAAATAAGAGAGGGTGCACATGTTTTTCTGTCAACAGTAAAATCCTCTTAAATGTTAAGAAACTACTAGTCATCTAATTGTAAAATATACATAATATTGTAATAATTAGAGATGCACTGATTGATACAATCAAGGCCGATACCGGTACAGATGTTTGAAACAATAACTTAGCTGATTGTGGATTTCGATACTACTGTTTGTTTCATGACTTCTTTTGCTGAAGACTCCCACAATACCAACATTTTCTCTCTTGTTTGACAATGAAAACAATTCAGAGTTTGTCCAACAGGTGATTTTATCTGCCCGCAAAAAAAACCCTTCTCTGAATGAGTTAGGTGTACTAGTTGCCAGCAAAGAAATTGATTTGGCACAACAAATAAACATCAGTTCATGCCACATAATTTGCAGATGTGCCAACTTTTGTCAACAGGGCCGATACCGAGTGTTTAATATTCAGCTGTTGGTCCTTTTTGACTTTTAAACACTGAAGTTGTCAGCCGTCAGGCTCTATACACTCCTTGTACATTTTATGACAGGAAGCAAACCTTTTACAAATAAAATAAAACGTTGTAATCTGCACTGCAGTATTTAAATATATAATTGGCAAAGAAGCTTTTCTTCCCAGGTTGAACATCGCAGCAATGTCAACAAGTCTTTTCAGAACCGCTCTCTTTCAGCTGACACCTTCTGACATCACCCGAGGCATTTTAACGGCTCAGTGGTGCTCCACAACTGACTCCTCTGTGCTCTTTAGGATTTACAAAGTGGTGCTGAGCCAGCAGCTGATGGAAGCCCCTCAGTCAGCTGCACAGCAGACTGTACCTCATAGTCTGATTATTCATCACATATGTAAATGGAGATTTTTGGCTTGGCCTCTATATTAACCATTTATGACATATACATGGAATATTTGGTGTCTACAAGTACAAACACAACAAATTCAAAAAGTAAATAGTTAGAATTGTAGTTATATTTTGCATTTAGGGATAGAACGAGAGTTATACAGACAGTCATTCAAGGTTATTTTTTATCAATCCCAACTATTTTGTGTAAAAAGGTTTGCCCCAGCCATTTTCATGTGTTTACAACAGCTATGAATGTGGCCTCCTAGACCCTGAAACTGACCCCAAAGCTGTAAAGGGCTGGATGGAATTTAACACGTTAAGACAAGTGTGCATCTATCATCTATATCCTAGGCTTGTTGGGAAGTGTGTTGCATGATACAGCGTCTGGCATGACAATAGAGTAGAATGGATTTCTATTAAGCAATTATTTTGTTGATAGTGTTCTTACAGGACACTTTTAGGGCAAGACTGACTCCAACACTTTGCTACTGGTGATCGATGGGTGCCCTGTGCACAGCCATGCTACTCATCCGGGGTGCATCTAAAGCAGGCAGCTTTCAAGGTCAGAGTAATCCAGCGCACACCAGGATTCTTCTGATTGACTTTAAAGTTTAATGCATATAAAGAATTTGAGTGATCTTTGCGTTTTGGCTTTCTCATGTTTGTTCTCCACTTGATTATCGTCAGGTGTGGGAAGACTTTTCAGTGGCGATAATGACATTGGTGACATAGCCAGCAGTGTGTGAATGTGTATTGATGGGATTAGAACGTATTTATTGGAACTTTACACAGCATCCCCTGTCATCAGAATATGAATGGGTGAATGTGACATGTAAGGAGCTTTGTGTGATCAGAAGATAAATGGTAAATGGTGAATGGACTTGAGCTTATATAGCGCTCTAGTCTTCCAGCTCTACAATTCTACAATTCACTCAGCAGACGCTTTTATCCAAAGCGACGTACATCAGAGAGTAAGTACAACACTAATCCATTCATACACCGCCACCGAAGCAGCAGGAGCAATGCGGGGTTAAGTGTCTTGCCCAAGGACACATCGGACATGTTGCTCAGCTGGGGATCGAACCCTCAACCCTCCAGTTGAGAGGCGACGACTCTACCACAGCCTCCCCAGATAAGAGAAGCTCTATTAGTTAGTACAGTCCATTTAACTTTTACTATAATTTATTTCACAATATCACATGAATTTTTCTTTTTCATCTTGCACCTGTTATGGCAGAGAAGTTGTACTTCTATCCTAAAGTTTTATGTCTAAGATGAAGGTGAGGGTCTTGTGCTGTGCATTCTACATTGGTGGGAAGTATTTACCTCAGAGAACTCACCTGCATGCTGATATTTCCCAAAGCGAACGTCTTTCCTGCTCTTGATGTAAGCCAAGAATATAATTGGCTGTATGATGCTTTAACTCCTTTCATAATTGTGTGTCTGCAAAAACAACAACAACAAAGAAACAGCTAAAGGAATCAGCTAACCGACGTTAGCAGGAGCTAACAAATGTCATAAAGAATCATTTTGGATTTTTTATTTATATAATCAAAACAACCAGAACATCAAAACATCAAAATTACTTTACGTGAGTATGGGCCATAGCTAGTTTGGAACTCAGATCTACACACTACTAGTTTGCAATACAGGCTTTCAGTTTTTCAAGCCCAACTGGAGACAATACCTTAATGTTCATGTCAAAATGTCATGGGATACATCAGTGAGGCAGCTAAGGTAAAAAGAAATGATCAGAATTCAGAGTAAAAGCAGTGATAAACATTATATACTTGTGAGTCCTCAATTTAATACTTCCTGTAGAGGCCATTCCTATGTTGGTAAAAAGAAATTGGAAACATCTGTAATAATGGGTCGATTCCCTTCTTTGACTGGTTTCTTTCTGTCATACAAAACGTTTTTTTGTCAGAATAAGAAGTGGGAGATTAGTCCACAGAACAGCAGGAGGCCATCAGACTGTGTGTGGTCCAGCAGCAGCCTGACCTCAGCTGCTCAGTCTGTGGCCCATCAGACTGTTTTGAAGTGTGATTAGTGAATACAGTTCAGCTGTGAATTTCTGTCACCCCAACAAAAGAAAATGACTCCTGAGAATCATTACCAGGTTACATAAGACTGGAAGGATTATGTTGTTTTTTGTGTATGTGTTTGTGTGTTGTGGTGTAAGTGTAAGTCTTTTCATGTCATGGTATCAAATGAGGCCTTTATCAAACATATGGTTTGTGTTGTTGGTGCGGTCATCATTTAGATAATGGCAGAGAGTGCCATTTGCAGCATGCTTCTGGCTGATGATTAAAATTCACTTGACACCACTGGCACTTTTGCCCTGACCTTTATGCCTTCATGAATTCTTACTTTATGTATTTTGTGCTCAGTTGATTGTTTTGATGGACATAGCCTTTTCTTTATGTTGGTGCAGAACAGACTCATTGCAAGTTGTTATGAATCAATATCAAGTGGAGATGAAATGGTTATGGAAATCAGGGACGATTGGAATCCTATACTGACACCGATACCAATTCCCTATACTGAGACCAATACTGATACTGATATCGATACTGATACCGGTACAGATAACAATAGCAATACCGTTACTGATACGATACCGACACTGATATCAATACATATACCAATACAAATACTGATTTTAAAAACAACAATTCAGCCGTTTGTAATTCATTTGGACTGTCTTTCAACTGAGATTTTAAATTGTATATATTTAAATTGTTATTAGAAGTCCTTCTTCTGAAATATCACTGGAACATGTCTTTTTTATTTATTTATTTTTAAAGATATATTTTTGGGCTTTTTGTGCCTTTAATGTACAGATAGGACAGTGGATAGAGTTGGAAATCAGGGAGAGAAAGTGGGGAATGACATGTGGGAGGGAAGCCACAGGTGGGATGTGAACCTGGGCCACCTGCTTGAGATGACAGCCTCCATACATGGGGCGCGTGCACTAACCACTGCGCCACCAGCACCCCAACACTGGAACATGTCTTACAAACTGCATATCGCCGATCCTTCCCAGAGAAAACGTAAGACTTCCACACTGCCAACATTTTCTTTCACGTTTGATCATGAAAACAAGTCAGAGTTTATCCAACAGTGGACTTCTTCTGCCCAATAATGAAAACCTGCTCTCTGAATCAGCTATTAGCTAAACTAGCTTACCCCCATTGAAGTAATGCAACACAACAGATACACATCGGTGCCTGACAAATAGTTTGCAGATGGGCCAACCTTTGATCATTTTTCTTCTGAAGGCAGTGGAATGTAATCCAGTCAGTTTCTTTGATAAATCAATTAAGAGTATAATTATAAAAGGATGAATCTGCATGGAAGGGGCTGTCTGGGTGGTCGGGATTCTTTCTTGTTCTGCTAGCCTTAAATTTACCCAGCCTCATCATCGTCATCCGAGCCAAACTCTCTGATGATGTGAGTCATGAGCTCCCACGTTGGTCCAGCTTCCAACAGTCTGACTCAGTCAGGTCTCTGAAGAGTTTTCCAAACCAAAGTTTTGTAGTAACACAAAGTTTGTTCGATTCAGGTTGGCTTAGCCAGCCCAGAAAGTATTCCACAATAAACAGTACACCTCAACAGTTTGGTATCACAAAGCATTCCTGCCATGCTGGTCATATTTAGAGTCAAAGGCCAAGCCACATCTCATGAGCTCTGTGTTTTGGACAGCATTCAAGTGTGGAAAACATAAAGTGATGCTGTGGTGCAGCCCGGCAGATTAGTGCCAAAAATCAGAACAGAGGTGGGACAGTTAGATATTGAGGTCAGTTGTCTCGAACTGAATGAACCTTGGAACAACTTTTTAAACTTGGTCTTTTAGACATCAAATGAAACCCAACTGTAGACGGTTAATGCAGATATTTGAGTAAGAGAGATATCTATTAATCATCCAGTGTGACATGGATTAACATCTCTTCACAGGCATACAATTCTGTTGGGGTCTTCACATCCTTCACAAGTCTTCATTTTTGATACTCTTAATGCCAGAAGTATAATAGCATCAGTTTATTACCAGTAATTAAATAACTAATGCCAGGCTTGTTGTCAAATTCCAATGTTTGTACTTGACTGGGTGTGTGTGGTTGTTTTATTTACCTCTGCTTGTTTTTCCATCTGCAGGGTTAATGTCTGTGGAGGGCAGTGCTGCCATGGCTGGAGTAAAACTCAGGGATCTCAGCGGTGCACCAAACGTAAGTGGACTGCTACACCATTCCAGGGTTTCATCTGTGTATTGACTGACTGTTTATATACCTCATGAACATTTCATGTTCTTCAATATTGAGTTCTACTTTCTTACTTTAACAAAATACAGTCTGACATTTCATTAATTTTTTTGTGTGACATAATCAAAAGGGTTTGGTTTAAACAAAGTTTTACAGATGACCAAACAATGCTGTGTCCAATGTTTGACAACATGATCTCTGCAGTATTTATGTATTTATGATACTGCATGGTTCTCTTTCACTTTGAGAAGGTCTGTTTTTATTCCCAATTTTATAGAATCCTTTGAACATCATTAGAAATTAATATTTTTTAAAAGGATATGCCAGTATAAAGAGTTATTTAGTCAGCACAACTATAGTGTATCAATACAAAGTCATGATATTCTTTTATTAAATCTCTGTAATGAAGGGAGCATTTATTTGGGCTTTTTGTGCCTTTATTGAAGAGATAGGACAGGATAGAGTCGGAAATCAGGGAGAGAGTGGAATGACATGCAGGAAAGGCACACCTACCACTAGTCCACCGGCACCCCTGAAGGGAGCATTTCTGAAGCTTTTTGTACCAATTAGTCTTTGAGACCCTCAAATATAATTAAAAAAAATGGGGCCAAGATGAAATATTACTTCTCCTGAAAAATGAAATTCTCCTCTAACTCTGACTGGTTACCATAAATCCAGATATTAGAATGTCCTGGATGGGCACTTATTGTATGCAGACTTCCAACAAGGCAAATATTCTAGTCTTCTATAATATTCATATCTGCAGGCTCAGTGCTATTTGTCTTGGTATGCTTAAAACAACTATTAAGCATTGTGACCAAATATTATTCTGTTATTCATGAGATACAGATCCCTTCAAACATTTATCCTTGGTCCATATTTCACATTTCCAGCAAGTAAAAACAATCTAATTGATTAGTTTGACTGATTCATCAGACATTTCACCAACTTCATTTATGGAAGGAGCATGGCTCCAGTCGTATCTGATGGCTGTCCAGCCTTCACCAGGCAGTTGCACACAGACATATTTGGCAAAGAATCAATGAAACCAGTTGAATTTATATTTCAAAGGTTTATTCAATGTAAAAAAACATTATTCAAAAATAATAAGCCTGACAATGTTGTTGGTTTAAGTTTGATGGGGCGGCTGTGGCTCAGTTAGTAGAGTTGGTCATCTCTCAACTGGAAGGTCGGGGGTTCAATCCCCAGCTCCTGCAGCCACATGTTGCTCCCACTGCTATGTAGGCGGAGTTTGAATGTGTATGAATGGATTAGTTAATACTGATGGTCACTTTACATAGCAACCTCTGCCATGACTGTGTGAATGAGTAGACCTGACCTGTGGTCTAAAAGCACTTGGAGAAGTCAGAAGACTAGAAAAGTGCTTTACAAGCTGAAGTCCATTCACCATTTAATGTCAATGGATTGAGTTGTTTCTGCTACAGTAAGAATGGTCATTTGATTTTGTCTAGTGAGGAAGTGTAAGTGCCAGTCTAGCTTTTTTTATGTGATATCCTGATTCAAATTTTGTACTTACAGTAGCTTGATTTTTTTGGGTTAGCATTGCTACGCATTTTGTCCCCTTGTTTGATTAATATACTCAAACATGGCATTGTATGGCATTGGCATTATAACTTTATAACAGATCTTAAACATTTCCACAGAACACTAATGTATTTGTTTCAAAGCTGTGTCTACTGCACACACATTCTTACTCACAAACATTTCATTATGAAGAATCATTGATAAATCCTGCAATAGTTGTCAGTGTGTACCCAAAATACGCAAAAGCAAAGCTCAAATCTGTGTAAACATGCATTTCATGAATGAGGCCCAGTGTTTTGGATTTTTTTTTTTTTTTTAAAGAGCCGCCTGCTGTGTCCTGAGAAGACAGTTATTACATTGTCCAACTGGCATCAGCGAGTGTCTAAGAGTGAAAGAGAAACAGATTTGGATGGATTACACCTCAGGGCCCAGACTCTTTGGCTAGATCACTTTCTTATTTGCCGACCTTTGCCAACCTATTATTTAGGAAGCAAACAGCTTTCTCCAGGTTTGTGCTAGTCTGTTTGAGTTTCTTAAGGGAAAGACTGCTGCAGTCCCCTGGAGAGCAGCAGGAGTTCCCCGTGTCTTTGTGTCCAAAAGATCTCACAGCGTCTGGCTCCTTCACTCTCTGACCTTTTTAAACAGAATGAGACCCAGAAGGAAAAGGTTTTGGTATTTTGACTTTTTTTAGTGTAATTTGAGTCTTAAGTGTGGGATTTAAGAAACATATCACAACGATTTATTTCTCATAAATGTCTCAGTCTACTCTTTAACACGTCTCTTGCAGTTGACATTGGGTCACAATCCTCATCAAATAGAGCACACTTTACAATTAAATACATTTAATTTACTCTGCATTTCTTTTCGATTCTTTCTTATTTGATGAATATTTGACCTGTAGTTGGTACTTCTGAACCTCTGTGTATGTGTAACTGCTAACCCAAAGTTTTCTCCTGAGGGCTTTTCCTCAGATGATCCACATCTCCTCGTCTCCTAACAGCTCAACATCTGAATGTCCCTCTGTAAAGTTCAGTAAAATCATATCTGCCTCGATTGGTGCTCTGTTTCCTGAAGAGTGGAAAGAGATAAATATGAAGAAGCCTTACTGTCTGAAACAAAGACTTTATTAAATCTGAAGAATAAAACTCTAATTACTAAAACCCATCATTCAATGAAGAATCAAAAATGTATGTGTGTGTTGATCAGGATCCTCTATGACGACAGTAACCATGTTTTGTGCGATAGCGTGAGAGACAGAATTTGTTCTCTGTTGTGTGATACATCGCTAGAAAGCACAGGATGATTAATGGGCTTATATGCTCAACCGTCCATTTTTTATACAAAATATTAGATAAGTTATTCTTACAATAACTGTTAAGTAACTTATCACAGATTGTTTTAAAATGTTATTGAACCTACAGTTTCTCTAAGTGGGCTCATTTTTTACAGCCCAAACACCGTAGCATCCCTCTTCCATTGTCTTCATTTGGTGATCATTCGGGCCAAATTCATCCAGGCCACAGGCCACCAACTTTTGACCAAGGACACAACTGTAGTGCTACAAACTGGGGAGATGCTAAGAGACTAACTAAGCATCTCTCAACTTTAGAAATTATCTATGTAAAATATATGGTTTGATGCTAATTCTGTTAGCCTGTTAAAGGTAATTTCAATTATGTGTTAGCATAAAGCTAAAGAACCAAGATGTCCGTTATGGTCCATCTGATCCTTCCCTGAAGTATAATTCATCACTGTTAGGATATATATGCTGTATGATGTATAACGTCCTCCATAGTGGAGGGATTTTATATGTGGGGTTTGGAAGGCAATATGAAGTACTTCACTTTTTAGTGTGATGTATTTTCACAGCAGAGGAGCACGGCAGCATCTGAAACACTTTACCATCAAAAGTGATCTGTATAATAATGATGGAGTGACTATGCACTATACTAGAGAGCTATGCTAGTCGAGCTACCTGGCTTTATAAATATCAATTTACAAGTAAGTTAGCTTAATTGCTAATCACCAGTAATTTACCCAGTCCTCATCAGATGTATATTAACCACTGTCTCCTGTCTCAAAACCCTTCTGCAAACAATGGCTCTTTAGTGGAGCTGTCAGTATTCCAGCCAGGCAGGGTTTTTAGAATTGGTAGTGCATCCCCATTGATAGGCTATAATGCCCCGTTCTTTCCTTTGGACTCTACCATTTTTTCTGTCAAAGGTCAGCATTGCATTGCTAAGATGGTTTGCCTTCGGTCTTTTGGGCACATTTGGTAATCAAAGTTGGTTGACCACAAAAGAAGTGCAACAAGTGCAGTGCACGTGGCCTGTCATGGTGAAGAGGTATTTGGGAATTTTCTGACCAATCAGTAAATTTCAACTCTCACCAGATTTGTGAGTGTCTGATAAAATTTGAGGTTGAGATCAGATATAAAATGTTTCTTTTTCCCCCGCATGGTGTCTGGTCTAAACCTTAGAGACAGGGAGAGGAACTCATATCTCAGTAAAAGAGCTCAGAGTAGAATTGTTTTTCATTCACGTCACCTGAGGCTGATCCAGAACACACAGGGGGGATTACATGTACTCTCTGGCCAAGGAAACACCTTTAGATCCTCCAGGAAAGCTGTAATACATGAGTCTGTGTCTGGCCTACCTTGCTTGGCCTCCTGCCAAAGTGACCCATACCCCGATAAGCAGTGGAAAATGGATACTGATGGGGCTCTGGGGACGAGGATTTCAGGCCATCTGTTAGTCTACTCCACACTTTTGTCTCTAAGATGTAGTTGAAAGATTCGGAAAAGCTAGACAGGATTATGGGTTCAGTTTTTGGTCAAAGTTTAGCTGGGATGTCTATCAGTAAGTCAGTATTGTTATTGTTAAGTTATTTCTTAATCTTTCTGCTAGTAATTGATCTTCCCTTAAAATTCCTCCATGATTACACACTTATTTGTTCAAAGCATTTGAGATTTTTTGTGCAGTAGATCATTTTAATCCCATAAGGATGTACCCTAATGACACCCAAAGGTCCTCTGTGAATGCTGGAGTACTCTGAACCAAACTGTGCTACTTAAAAGATTTGCCCTCACCAGTGAAAAGTGTTTTGGTTTGCAACCGCCAGGATCCCATATCAGCTGAACCCTTGAAGACATGCAGTGTGTGCAGAGAGACTGCTTTGTTTATACAGGCACAGGAAACACTGCACAGTGACCAATAGGAGACATTCCTCTGGTTCTCAGGCTTTGAAAGTCTGTAGCCTATTCCACCCCCCCCCCCCCCAGCCACTTGCTTCAGTGGGATATAAGCTAAATGTAATACACTCAATTTTTCCATTAAAACTTGCTTTTGTAGTTAAATGTTCATCTCCCCATCCTTTTCAGTGTTTGTTTTTGCTCCCCTTTTTTTAGTTTGAATCTCCAAATA